TATTTATAATACTCTTGAGTATTCTGAGGATATATATGCATTCATTTTAAAACAAATGAGGTGTTCTATAAAATCTAAAAAAAAATAATAATGATTTGTAGAATTATATTTTAACAAGTAGTTCAAATTATTGTTATTAGAAACATTTCCTATCATATACACAATATGTCGTGTCATAATGTCATAGAAGAAAAAAAAGAAAAGCGTCTTTCTTCTAATCTTATTATAGTAGTATATGTACTTGGTTTATTGATTTATTCTGTTTTATACTCTCATTGGAATTTAATGAATGCGTCTCATGAGAGTCGTTTGAGACTCAATCACGTACTACATAGATTTATGCGCTCACGCTCTACACTTAAAGAGAAAATATAAATTTTATATATTAAAAAAAGAAGTTTTTTCTTATTTTATTGTTTATTTGTTTGTTTATTTGCTATTATAATCATTATAAAATAGCCTGTTGTTGTTTTAGGGATTTTTCAAAATAATTTAGTTAAAATAAATGAAAATTAGACCAAAATTTTCACTGAAAAATGAATTCATCATTTTTTCGTAAAGAAAAAGAAAATATTATTTGATTAAATCATTTTCGTTTCGATAATGATTATTTTATAATTGACAACAATACTTTTTTTTTAAAGTTCATTTGCAGATAATTGTAAATAGAGCAAAAATGCTGTGAAAAAGAAATGTGGGTGTAGTTGATCATACTAAAATGAGTTAAAACTCGAATATTGGAAGATGCTTACAAATTAGTGATAAGCAAAATAAAATCTATTGAGAATGGATATTAACGAATCGAACTCATTCAGTTTATTGTTCGTTTTTCATAATAGAAAAAGCTACTTTTATCTCGTATAGAGTTTATACAGTCAACTCTATATGAGAGATGTTTAAAATAGAAAACATGGAAAAAGAAAAACCTATGTACTTTATCGTAAAAGTTAAATTAATTTGTGTCTGTAAATCATTGATCGAGTATCATTTAAATGTCGTTTAGTCTACTTTTCATATTTTAGTTTTAAAAGTGTTTAAAAATAGGTTTTTCTTCTTCGATATTTACGGAATAATAACCACGCATTTGTTGAATAAACATAATCACTATCAAAATAAGTTCAGATGTACTTCTTGATCTATTTTTTTAAGAAATAGTTAATATGACATTAATTATGAGAAAAAAGAATCCATCCATTGACTTTGTTGTCTTTAAAACTATTTTATATAAAAAAAATTTAGTCATTTGAATTATTTCGTACAAGAACGCCTTATTCTATGTTTTGTCTGAGTTGAACTTGATTTATGCACTAGTTTTTATTTCTCTTCCGTTGAAAAATGATTGTAGAGGAGGTAAATATGAATGTCATTCATGTGAGATCTTTTCTGAAGTGGAAATATAGATTATTTTTCTTAGCTTATCTTTTTAAAAGAAAAAAACATCATTTATCCTATAATTATTAAACTAATATTATCCCAAAAGAAATAATTATGATTAAGCTCAACCTTTTTCGTTTTTTCTTTTTTTCTTTTTTTATGCCACACTTTTTACCTAGAATTTTTTGAGATAAAGAAATGTTAGTTGATTAATTTTGTAATAATATGTTATTGTTTTATTTTTGTTCCAGGTACATTATTATTTGGTTCAATTGGATTAGTTGGTAATATAATATGTTTTCTCGTTCTTTATCGTTCATCCGCACAACCATCACAATCATTTGTTCAATATTTACGTGCTCTAGCATGTTTTGATGTTTTTGTTTTATTAATTGAATTTATTGAAACAATTAATGATTTAACAATGTATACGTTTAATTATTTATTACTTTCATTTCGTCTATCAATTATATGTAAATTATATGAATATTTTAAACACGTTATTATTTTGGTAGCATGTTGGACAATTGCTGTACTTACATTTGATCGTTTAATATTAGTTTGTGATCCATTTACAAGTATGTTTCCAAATTTATCACGAAAAATATGTAATTCAAAAAGAGCAAAACAAATTATTTTAATTTTATTACTTATATCCATGATAATTAATCTACCACAGTTAAAATATAAAGGTAAATATAAATAAATGAAAAATAACAACAACAATAATAAAAACAATTTTATTCTTTTAAAATAATTTTAGAATGGGTCTGTCGTCCAAAAGGTTATCGTCATAGTGCCTATGCATCACCACGTCAAAGTCTCACTCAACAAACACCCTTATTAATGTTTGATGATGAAAATTTAAATAATGAATTATTATCGAATAATAATCTGGATATAGATGAACAATTTCAAAGATTAAATGAAAGTATTTTAAAAAATAATCCATCATCATTATCCAATGAACATTTATCAAATTATCCTACAGAATTATCATCAATTATCAGTGTTACAAGAACTACAACAATAGTCATAAATGAAAAATTAAATAATCATACTGGATCAAATAAAAACTTTCAACAACATTGTAAATGTCGAATAGCACCAAAACTTAATATTAAAGAATTTTCATTTGATAGCATTACGAGAAGTTTAGGTTAAATATCATCCCAAAATCTTTCTTCTTTCGTTCTTTTCTTTCTACATATCATTATCTGCAAGGGGGAAAAGGCGGAATGGGCTAGAATGGGCCATTCCGTACCATAGTGATCTGGAATGGCCCATTCCAACCCATTCCGTACCATTCTATACCATTCCAAAACGCTTTTTTCCCCTTGATTATCCGTCTAAATGTGTTTTTTAATTTCTACTACAGTAGAGAAATTAAAATACGTCCATAATATAAATTTTCTAATTAAATTTAAAATTCTGGTAGTACAACTTAGAATCATCGCTTATTCTAATTTCTCCTAGTAGAAAGTGGAATTTTTAATTTTTACTGCGACATATATATTAAAATATTTATATACCTGCATTACTTGCTATAAGAATGATGGCTGGTATTAGTGTATAACAAAACATATGAAACACATATGTATCCCATGTAATAACAAATGATAATTCTTTAATATTAAGTTTTGGTGCTATTCGACATTTAC